GACTTAAACTCTTGTTTAAAAATTATAAAAATGATAAAATGAAGTGTTTATTGACTTTACATTGCCACAGAAGGTGAAAATAGTGGAAGATTCACTATTTATTCAAAGTATAACTACATTTGTCGTAAAAGAAAAACTCTTATTTCAGTTTTGTATGGCACTTGAATTAGCTTCTAGAGAAAAGTAAACCTGCCAGCCTCCAGTAGAGGGAGAGTTGCTTGCATAAAGTCTATCAAATGCAAGTACTGACCAGAAATAACTACCCTGCTCTTGAAGTCCTTGATCTAAATAACTTTTTATGTAAAAAAACAAAAAACAAAAAACAAAAAACAAAAACAATCTTCAAATTTGGTTCCTGGCCTTTACAGAAAAACTCTATCAAAAGCTGCAATGCGCCGCCTCCCTCTCACCATTCCACCTTTCGGTTTAAAACACGACCAACCCTTCTCTGGGGCAACGGATGAAGTAGTTTCAATAAATCTCGACAGTACATCGCCTTGCTCCCCACAGCAGCGCCCCCTCCTCATCCTTAATTCTTGCTACTCCAAACCAGATCTACCGTCAATATTGTCAAATCCTTCCCCTTCGGCTCCAAAAAGAAAATGTACCTGTAGAGTATCCGCTGCGCAGCAAACAAGGCACAGCTCCGAATCCGTGTCCTCTGCCCCTTTTTTGTACCCCTTCAGCCCTCCCTCTTTTTTTCCATGTTGAACTTGAGCAGAGAGCATTTGGCTCCCTTATCTGCCAGCACTGGCGCCAGGAGGACCGCGCTCCCAGGAGATGCGGAGATTGAAGACTGCGCGCCGCGGCTGGCGCGCTGCGGCCGCTCAGCTCAGCCCGGCTCCGGCCGGCCAGCCAGTCCCCGGCTCGCGCCTCTGCCGCCTCGAGAGGCCCTCCTGGAGCCAAGTCTCGGATCAGGGGATTCCCGCGACAAGCGGTCGCGCCAGATTCGCTACCTGCTACCACCCCGCATTCGTGAGCGAACTGCACACCCGTCCCGCCAGGGCAAATCCGGAAGCCTGAAGGCAAGTCGCGGGGGTCCTTCGCCCCCTAAAACGTGGCTCCCCCCACCACTTGCCAGCCAGGTACTGCCCGTCCCCACCTGCAACCCCCAGAACCACTCCCCGCCCGGGCCTGCGTGGGTCCAGTACCATTCTCCTCACGGGGCGGACTCCGGAAGGGCAGCAACTCCACCTCCTCCTCCTCCGCGGCCTGTAGCCATCTATCGGGAAGCGTCTCCGGAGGCGGCAGCAGGGGCCGCCGGACAAGGACAGCCCAGGGAAACCTTCTCAGAACTAACTCAGCTCCGGCGCTAGCAGCAGAAACCGAGTCTTTCATAATTGTGCGACCAACTCCTCCGGGTGACTGGCCACAGGGACGCGCCCGCGCCCGCCTCCGCCGGCGACGGGGCTGGAGACAGACCACGTGAGAGGCGCGTCGTGTGCGTCGCCGCCCGCGGGCCGGGTCACGTGAAGGGCGCGCGCTCCCCCGCTTCCAGGCCGCCTCCCTGGGCGCCGCGCGCACGCGCCGGGCACGAGCGCCCTCGCCCCTGCCGCCCCCGGTTTCCCCGGAGGTGTTCTCCTCAGATCTCCACTGGATACCTAGGCGGGACTTGCACAAACATCTCCCTCAGCTCCAGGAGTGGAACTTGAGGACTCAGCGGTTGAGGATTAAGGTTCCAGGCGTCCGGGATCCCGCGTGGAGTTGTGGCGTGGTCTCACCTCCGCTAACCCGGCCTGGCCTCTGCCTGCGAGCTCAAGCAAACTAGTTCCCAGCCCCCTCTCTGTGTCTCAGCGTCTTTAAATATTACTCTCTCCTCGTCCAAAGCGCGAAGTCGTCTTCTTACCCCAAATCATGCTCTTCCTCTAGCCTCTCCTGTTGCCACCAGTAAAAATTCTTCTTGGTTTAACGATGGGACCATTCTTTACCCTCTAGAGATAGACATCACCCACAGACCCACATACACCACACACCTGAACCAAAGACTGGGTTGTTTCCTGGGTCTAATACGTGCCTATTCGTCTGTCCATTTCCTTTGCTCTCACACCAGCCCAGGTTTGGCTATTAGCGATAGTTTACTAAACGTTATTCTCCCCTATCTACTCGGAAGACCACAATCAGTTTAATTTTCTTAAAACATTGCTTTATATGCATAATCTTTCTGCTCCCAAAGACTTGAAGAGTTCCTCAGTCTGACCTTCTATGATCTGATTCTATCTTATCTCTTTTCGAAAGACAACTTTATCGAATAATTGAAAACCTACACATTTTTAAATGTACAATTTGATACATCTTGATATATGTATACACCCATGAAATCACCAAAATCAAGGTAGTGAATGTATTCACCCTCAAGTTACTCCCTGCTCTTTATAATTTGTCCATCCTGGCCTTCCCCATTATATCTCTTAGCAACTGTAGATCTACTTTCTGTCACTGCACATAAATTTGCACATGCTGAAGTTTTATATACTGGCATCATACAATATGCACGGGGGAGCAGGGGGGACCTGGCTTCTTTCATTCAGCGTAATTATTACCTCTCAAATGTTATGACCCACAATTCACTGAAGTGGGATCTTCAACAAAACTGGTCAACCCACTGTTTTTCCTAACAAGCTTTGACCACACTTGTGAATAATCTTCTGTTATTGTGTTTTCCTTCCCCATCTGGCAGGTCCAGCAGGGCCAAGGTTTAAATATGTTTTATTAAATAATGTATGTGCCATCGAAGATTGTCAACCCCTTAGAGCAAGGATCTTGACTAATTTATACCTGCATTCAATAAATGTTTATCTTCTAGATTTTGGTTGGGCCTACACGCTTCCTGCCTTTAGGAATTTATAATCTAGAAGGTGGAGACAAACTGGGAAAATAGAAATAGAAGATTAGAGTACTTTGTTTCCTTTGGACTTTGCAACTCTGATCTTTTTGTACCCACAAATGCTTCACCCCTTACTTGGATGATGTAGAAATGAAACAAGAAGACACTTAACCAGAATTCTTGGGTAAATTGGACCATTTAGTTGAGTTGGAAATAGGAAACAGGATTTGTCTTTAATTGAACTAATCAAAATAAATTTCTTAATTTTCTGGTAATCAGACAGTCTTGAAGCTCACGCTGACTTTCAATCAGCAATCAATTCTGGAGAATTAATTTACTCATTCAAAAAAATATATATTGAGCCAGGTGTGGTGACATGCACTTGTAGTCCCAGCTACTTGGGAGGCTGAGGTGGGAGGATTGCCTGAGCCCAGGAGTTCTGGGCTGTAGTGTGTTATGCTGATCAGGTGTCTGCACTAAGTTCAGCATCAATTTGGCGACCTCCCAGGAGCAGGGAACCATTAGGTTTCCTAAGGAGGGGTGAACTAGCCCAGGTCAGAAACGCATCAGATCAAAATTCCCATGCAGATCAATAGTGGGTTTGTCCCTGTGAATAGCCATTCCAGTCCAGCCTGGGCAACATAGCAAGACCTTGTCTCTAAAAAAAAAATAATAAAATAATAAAAAAGTATTGAGTGCCTAAGAATGTATCAAAAACAGTCATATTCAATGTTCAGTGATGACAAGATCAATACATTCAGTGTTTCAGAAAATGTTTATTAAATGCTCTCTTGCTTATACTTCTTTTCCATAGGGATTCTGTTTCCACTTTGGTCAATGGCATGTCTATTTTGCATCTCACCAGATCACATATTCATGTTCCTCTCTGTCTTGCCCAATTATTTACAACAATTCAATTCAACATTTACTACTATACTCTGTTTAGTGCACTAAGCAAAGTGCTATGAGAATGAAACAATGAAAAGGCATGGTACTATAAAAAGTCTCCTGCATTTTTAGCTCTCAGTCTAGTATAGGCATTCTCAACCTCGAAGAGGGTGGTATCACCCCAAAAAGTGAAAATTGAGACTTGAGGGGGTGAAAATATATTACTCTTTTTATATATAAAGCACAGATACACATACAAAAGCAAATATACAGTATATCCGTGTTATTAAAATTTCATGGGAGGGTGCAATTAGGCATAATATGTTTAAAAAGACTCCATAAGGAGGCCATAATGAAAAAAAAAATGGGAGAGAAACACTGGTTTAGTGGCTCAGAGACAGATGAAAGACTAACTCACAATGAAGATAAATGACAAAATTGCTGTGTTAGCCAGCCTCCATAGGTCCCTGTGTTCCTCACCTCCTGGTACTCTCATCTTTGTGTAGACCCTCCCACATTGAATAGGGCTGACCTGTGTACTTAGTAATATTGTAGAAATGATGATGTATGACTTCCAAGGCCTGGTCATAAAAGACATTTTGGCTTCCACCTTGCTCTTTTAGATAACTCAATCTGGAGAAAGTCAGCTGCCAAGCAGCCCTGTAAGGAGGTACACGTGGCAAGGAACTGAGACTTCCTGCCAACAGCCAGTACCAACTTGCCAGCCATGTGGGTAAGCCATCATGAAAACCTTCAGCTGCAAAAAAGATATCAGATGACTGCAGCCCGAGCCGACATCTTGTATCCTCAAAAAAAACTCTGAAATGAAGCATCCAGCTGACCACTGGGAACTATACAAAATAAAAAGTATTTATTGTTCTTTTAAGTCACTAAGTTTGGGGATAATTTGTTATGTAGCAATATATAATTAATAAAATTGTGGTACAAATAAGTCATCATGCAGTGGTAGAGTCTAATCACCAATTGGGTATATTTGGAAAGCTTGGAGGCAGTAGAATTTGAACTAAGTCTTGTGGGAAGAAGTAGAAGGGTATATATAGAGGGGCATTCCAAATAAAACACTCAAACAAAGGCAGAAAGGCATAACCAAGTTACATTAATATTTTTAAGTGATAAGAGGCCTAGGATTCAAGTGATGAACCCAAACAGCCTCTTCTTTAGAACTAATTTAGTAAGAATGATCCTTAAATCACTTCTATACTTAAAACCTTTCAAGTGGCTGGGCGTGGTGGCTCATGCCTGTAATCCTAGCACTTTGGGAGGCGGAGGCAGGAGGACTGCCTGAGGCCAGGAGTTTGAGACCAACCTGGGCAATAGCAAGACCCCACTTCTACAAAAAAACGGAAAAATTGGCTGGATATGATGGCTTGGGCCTGTAGTTCCAGATACTCAGGAGGCTGAGGCAGGAGCCCGAGGCAGGAGGATTTCTTGAGCACAGGAGTTCAAGGCTGCAGTGAGCTATGCTGACACCACTACACTATAGCCTGGGCAACAGAACAAGAAAAACCTTCAGTGGCTCTTGTTGCTCTTATGAACAAGTCCAAATACCTTAGAATCTGATCCCATCTAATCTTTCCAGTCTTACCTCTAGTCACTTCTCTTAGGCTCTCTTCTTTCCCCTTCAGATGTCCATAATCAGGACTCAACCTGTAAATCCTTTCTTTCAAAAACTGTTTTATCCCCTCCCCTAACACACACAACTCTTATATGTTCCCATTGTATGCTGTATATACCCTATTACAGCATTTACCCTATTGTACTCAACCAACTTACTTGCCAATCCCCCACTAAACATGCAATTTTATGAGGATCATAACTTTCTCCATCTTAAATCCCTACCAAGTATGTGTCATTAAGCACCCAGGCATTTAATGAATATTTGTTGAAGCAATGAAAAACAGGAATTGATAGTAAGAGAATATACTTTGCTTTGTGTGAGACGAATTGTTTAAGATTAGAGATTAGAGAAAAATGTGCTCTCTCTGATTCTAACTGTTGCTATTTGCTTCTGTGACCGTGCTTGCTTTTAGTTGTTTGTTAAATGTAGTTAATCAGAAACAGGAATAAGAGCAGGAGTGACTCCATGACAGGCTGAACTTCCTGGAGTAGGCCTAAGTTTCGGTTTTCCCGAAACAACGCTGCCCTTTCCCCCGAAATGACCCTGACTACAATTGGCGCCAGCACGAAAATCCCGAGGCTTGGAGCCACTTTTAAAGGAACCAATCAGGAGCCAACACGATCAGCCACTTTTAAAGGAACCAAATGAACTAAGGAGGGGAGGGGGGGAAGGTGTGCCCAGCGTATCGTGTGAAACCTGTGTGTCGTGTGTAAAACAGAAAAAGGTATAAGAGCTGAACCTCTACCCCAAGGCAGGGTCCTAGCCCTTAGAAGAGGCCACTGCGTTGGTGCTCTGGGACTTGGACCCTAGCTCGAGCTAGCCAATAAACTCCTTTGCCATTTGCAGCCTCGGGGACTCTGCCTCTCTGTTCCTGGGGCCGAGGGGAACCGGCTCTAACAGCAACAAATGAACCCTCTGACAGGCGAGAATCTAAAAATGTAACTCTGGCAGGGCACAGTGGCTCATGCCTATAGTCCAAATGCTGTGGGAGGCTGAGGCAGGAGCATCGCATGAGGCCAAGAGCTCAAGACCAGCCTGGGCAACATAATGAGACCTCATCTCCCCAAACAATTTTCTAAAATTAGCTGGGAGTAATGGCA